CCCCGTGGCGTGCGACGGATTTTTCATCCCGCCGCGCGCTCGGAGCGTGCGGCGGTTTTCTGCCCGCCGTGCGACCCGAGACGCGCGGCAGTTTTCTGCCCGTCGTGCGCCCCAAGACGCGCGGCGGCTTTCTGCCCCGTCACTCCGCGCGTCGCCCCCGGGAGGCGCTGCGACGGGCGACGGGGACCCGCGCGTCGCCCCCCGTCGCCCGTCGTGGCCCGCGCGACCTGCGTAGGGCCCGCGCGCGGCCCGTACTGCTTGCGCGCGGCCCGTACGGGCTGCGCCAGGCCATGGCGCGCCTCGGGCCGCCCGCGCGCGGTTCGTACGGGCTGCGCCAGGCCCGTGGGCGCCCCGTTTCCTCTTCCCTTGAGCCGCACGCTGTCCCCCGCGCTTCTGACGGCGCCCCACCCGTGCTGTTGCTCGTGCTACTGAATTAGGGTTTGGGGGTGGAGCGTATGGGGGTGCCGTCTCTGTCAGCCGTCCCCTGCTCCTCCTCCTCCTCCGTCTCCCACTGCTGCAGCTGCCGCTGAGGGGGGTGGATGTGTTGGAGCCGTCAGAGTGGTATGAGGGGGTGGCGTGCAAGTGGAGTTAGGGGTGAAACAGTGGGTATGTGGGGGGTGTGTGGGACAGTTGGGGGAGGTTGAGTGGAGGCAGCCGTCGTGTCGTCCGCAGCGCCTGTATTCCGGGGTTCTAGTGGCCGCCGGTAGCTCAGAGAGCCTGCTGCACCTGTCGCCCGTGGGTCCGTTGCTCCTGCCGCTGCTGATCAGCCGCAGAGCCTGTTACTCCTGTATTCCGGGGCACTTGCTCCCGGTAGCCACTGAGTCGCACCAGCGCTTCTGTTGCCCGTGTGTCTGCAGCTTCAGTCGTCGCCTCCCATCTTCTCTCCTCTCGCCAGCCCTCCTCCTCCTCACTTGCCCTCTGTGACTGCCTCTAGCTTTGCTCATAATTTGTGAACTACTGCTATGATTGCTTGTTGTGCTGATTACACCCCACTTTGGCTATGGGGGTGTGTCAGAATGTTATATTCTCTAGCCTGCAGTGGGGTGCTCTATAGCGAGTACAACCCAGTTAGGGTTTGCTATTTGTATCTCAACTGCTGCTAGTGAACCTCCTCTTTCTGCTTTCTAAACTTCCTACTGCTACTTTTTCGACACTTCTCGACCGAGTTGATTTCGTGCAGCTCGAAGGCGGCCTCCAGCAATCCCTTTAGCTCCTTCAGCATTGCAAGGCTGCTTTGGCGGCGAGCAGTTCCTTGACATAAACGAGCACTTAGCACGCCACCTCGTCGTCGCCAACCTTGAAGTAGAGGGCCTCGTCGACCTGGCTCTTGCTCAAGCCGGCGCCGGCCAGCACCGCGTCGAGCGTCGAATACCACAGAAGCAGCGACTGCTTCAGCTTGTACAGGCTCTTCAGCTGCTTGTACACACGGCCGGTCCCGTCGTCGTAGTAGTCGGGCTAGTATACGTAGAGTATGCGATCGTACTTGCTCTGCATAAACACGCTTTTTATGTTGAGCTGCATCAGGTGCAGGTCGAGGACGACGACGATGCTGAGGAAGATCCTCAGCGTGACGTAGCTCCTAACTGGCGTATACGTCTCGTCGTAGTCGGTGCCATATACATGCGTGAAGCCCTTCATGACCAAGCGCGCCTTATCGCTGGTAACCGTGTCGTCGACGTGATACTTGATCATTAGTACCCAGCAGTTCTTTATGACGTTGTCGCAAGGTGGACGCTCGACCAGCTCCCACGTGCCGTTGGCAATGAGGCTTCATATCTCCTCGTCCATTGTGGGCCTTCACCGCATTGCCCTTCCAACTCGCCAACGCCTTTGTCACCGTCGTGTTGGCGATGTCCCAGCGGTGCTTTGGGTCGGCGTCCACCATGACATCATTACTAACGCGGTACTTGCGAGCTAGCTAGTGCGATGCTGCCTGCGAGGTTCGGGCTAGTCCCAAAGCATAGCCTCGACTTAGCCAACTTCACGAGTGCGATGTTTCGTAAAAGTAGCGCGAGAAGTAACGAACAGCGTTAAGCTGTAACGGAAGAAGAATCAGTTCGGTGTTGTGTGCGTTGTTGAGTTGCACATTAAAGAATCATGAATAATTCCTGAGAATAGATATGAACAATTGGTAGCTTGTGTTTGGTTGGAAATACAAGCCATCAATTTAGGGGCCTAGGTTGTGGGTGTAGTTTGGTTACAAATTCAAATACATTGGGATGTAAAGATGCTGCTATTGTAGGATGCGTTAGGGTTGTATGGTAGGATGCGTTACATCGAAAGTCTCGCCATCAATCGTTGACCAGCTAACGGCTGGCTGGTTATCTTCCCATGCATGCTGTTCGCGGCTCGAGCGCAGGTTGAGGGGCCAAGGCGAGGAGCAGGGCTTCAGGCGAGGCACGCGAGGTTCGCCGCTTGCCCTCTCGCCGCTTGCTTCGCGTGTCGCGTGCACCCCACCGTTCCTCTCTCCGCCCCATCCCTCTCGCCAGTGGCGCGCCTCGGCCTCCCGCCATCTGCCCTCCTACCCGTGCCTCTCTACCCTCCGCCTCGTCGCTTCCATTTTCCTCCGCCTTCAATCTCCCGTTTCGAGCAATCCCCCACGTTGCACCCGCCCTCACTTTCGTTCGCCGTCGCTGCCCTGCGACCCTCCTCGCATGCGCTGCTAACCCCGCTGCTCCACTTGCCCCGCCCTCGCCAGCTGCCTGCCTGCCTGCGTGCGCGCGCCACCGCGCCCACACTCCACTGCCTGCCCTCACCCGCTCGCCCCTCCCACCCCGCCGCGTCCATCCGCCCATCCAGCAGTGCCGCCCGTCCAGCAGCGCCGCGGCAAGCAGGAGCGGTGGAGGGCGCGCAGGGGCGGTGTGAGGCCGCCGCCGCCAAGCAGTGTTGCGGGCAGTCGTGGAGGCGCAGCGTGGGTGGTGCTTGCATGGCGTCGCGCATGCAGGGTGGGGGGGAGGGGGAAGACATGCAAGGAGGGCGGGATGGGAGTGACGGGGAGGCACGACAGGCGGAGGTGGAGGCGGCGGTGGTGGCGGCGGTGTGTGAGATGGGCTTCAACAGAGACGACGCGCTTCACAAGCTGCCGCTCTTCATGAAGGTGCTTGAATGCTTCTGTTGCACCCATCTGCACCCATCTGCACCCATCTGCACCCATCTGTGCCCATCTGCACCCATCTGTGCCCATCTGCACCCATCTGCGCCCATCTGTGCCCATCTGCACTCATCTGTGCCAAACACACTTTCCTCTCCCCCGTCACCACCGCCTGCCATTCTCCCACACCCAACCCCCCACCCCACCCCTCCTTCCTCCCCCTCTCCTGCACGTGCATGTCACCTGCGTGCGGCACATGGCACATGGCATATGGGGCATGGCACATGACACATGGCACACGGGGCATGGCACATGACACATGGCACACGGGGCATGGCACATGACACATGGCACACGGGGCATGGCACATGACACATGGCAGCTGAACTGCGAGGATCTGTTGCAGATGGTGAAGGAAAAAGGGGTGGAGGGCACCGTGGGGGCAGGAGCGCAGTTATTCTTGGACTGGATGCTCACTGGGGGGGACGACCAGGTGAGGCGGTAACAAGGAGGGGTGGCTTGCCTCATGCTTCACTTAATTTGCAACCAGAGGAGCCGAAGCTCATCGTGCTGTTCTCTTGGAACGCTGTAATGCTCTCCAGTCCACCGCCCTCCTGCTCCGTATCGCCTGCCTCGAGGTCCCTTTACTTGCCCACGCCCCCTCCCTCTCCCCCCTTTCTCCATGCCCATCACCTATCCCCTTGTGCGCCCATGCCCCACCCACCAGTCCGCCTCCGCGCTCCTCCCCCCCATGCTGTCCGCGTCCGCCCCCCCCATGCTGTCCGCCCTGGCAGGTGACAGCAGGCGAGGAGGTGGACGTGGAGGAGCAGGCGCGCATCGCCCGGCACATTGAGCGCCGCCGCCAGAAGCAGGCGCGGCGGGCTGCGGGGGAGGGGGGGGAGAAGAAGAGGAAGGGGAGGAACAGGGGGGAGGGGGAGAAGGGAGGGGAGCAGGGTGAGGAGATGAGGAAGATGAGCAGGGGGGATGAGAAGGTGCGGGAGGAGGTGCGGATGGGGGAAGGCGATGGAATGGGTGGCAGGGTGGGAGGAGCTGACGAGGAAGGCATGCGAGGGGAGGCGGAGCGAGCAGTGGCGGGGGAGCAGACAGGTAAGACCCCAGCAGCCAAACAGTGAGGCGGGAGAGCGGGTGGGAGAGATGGGCGTCTGGAGTGACTATTGTTTGAATCTGCTGCCATTTTTGCCAAGTCTGCACCTAAGCGGCCACTTTTATGTTCAGCATCTGACACACTAACGTTTGAGGCGAACCAAACAGGGATATGATTGTTTGCTAGGATCATACCTGGCATTCATCTTGCAGGACCGGAACGACAATGACAAAATGACCGGAACTCCCCCAATCATGTTCCGCCCACTCACTAAATTTGACCAATATTCGTGACATCAAACTGAACCAATTTGGATCAAACTGTCAGGACAGGGGTACAACAGCGGGAGGTCAAACTCGAAACTTAACCGCACCCATCGTTACGGTTCAACTCGAACCAAACTCGTTCGGTTTGACCCAGTTTGACTCGAAGCAGTTCGGGTTCGGTGCTTGCTCATGCTTGCTTGCTCACAGTGCTGCCCACACCTGTTTCGCTCCATCAATTCTCATCCCCCTTCCATGCTTTCCTCACCCATCCCCTCTGCCCCGCAGGTGCTGCCTATCCCCTCACTGTTTCCCATCCCTCTGCTTCCGCCCATCCCCCCGCTGCTGCCCATCCCCCGCTGCTGCCCATCCCCCCGCTGCTGCCCATCCCCCCGCTGCTGCCCATCCCCCCACTGCTGCCCATCCCCCCGCTGCTGCCCATCCCCCCACCGCTGTTGATTCCTCGGCTGCTGCCCAACCCCCTACTGCTCACATCACCCATGCCACCACCTACGATTCCCATCTCGCTTTCCAGAATCCTATGGTCTCCCCTCAACTTCCCCCCACCTCCTCTCACCTTCCCCTCACCTTCCCCCAGCCTCCCGCCGCCTCCTCCCAGCACCCCCTCACCTCCTCTCAGCCTCCTCTCGCCCCCCTTCAGCTGCTCGGTCCAGCCTCTCAGCTCCGCTGCTCAGCACCCACCACCAACCCCCTCTCGCTCACCCGCGAGGGACAGGAGGGAGAGGGAGGGGGGGGAGGAGAAGTGGGAGAAGGGGGAGGAGGATTAGGAGGAGGGGAAGGAGGAGGAGGAGGGGGATCGTTGGCAGATGTGTGGGTGGGGCAGGGAGGTGGGAGGGAGAGTGAGAGGCGAAGGGAGATGGAGCGGAGGATGAGCGAGAGGGAGATGGGTCGGCTGAGGAGCCGCAGCCTAGGGAGGGCCGGGGCTGCGAGCGGTGTGGCGGGGAGCAGAGCGGCAATGAGGGATGTCGAGCAGAGGGGCAGGTGGCAGGGGGAGGGGCAGTGTGGTGGAGCAGGAGAGGGTGAGGGGTGGGGAGAGAGGCCAGGCGGTGATGAGGGGCGCAGGCACGGGGCGTGCAGTGTCCCTCCCCACGCTGGTGAGCCGTTGCCGCGGCCCCCACAAGCCAGAGAGCCCCCTGCCGCGCCCAGTGTGATGCGTGGGGCTGCGAGTGTGGAGGGCTGGCGAGACATGGGCGGAGGGGAGGCGAGTGTGGGGGCTTGGCGGGATTTGGGAGGCGGGGGTGGTGCAAGGGGCATGGGGCGAGGGACGTGGAGAGAGGGAAGGGGAAGGAGGTGGTTGGGGGAGGGTGAGGCAGCAAGAGATTTGGCAGAGCCGGTGGGAAGAGCGGGATGCACTGTGATTGGCCAAAAAGGGCTGGCGAGTGGACTGCTGCTGCGAGCGAGCGAGGGGAGTGGCAGGGTGCAGGGGGGGACGGAGGGACATGTGCTGCATGGGCGAGGGCGTGGGGGTGTGCATGGCGATGGCGCCAGGCGTGAGTGTGCTGGTGGCGTTGGGCATGGGGATGTGCAAAACAGAACGGAGGTAAAGCGGGATTGCAGCGAGGAGAAGCTGATAAGAGGGCAGGCAGGTGTGGGTGCCACTGCGGCTGTGGGGGAAGTCGCGGAGGGCAGTGTGAGGGAGGCGGATGCTGCCCGCACCGGCACAGCTGGCACAGCTGGCTCTCCCCCCTGCGTGCGCGACGACGCTCAGTCTCCCGCCCTTGACCGTGGTGGGGATGGCAGTGCCGCGCCGGCTGCAGCAGCAAGCTTGCTTGGGGGAGCAAGCGAGGGGTGCGGTGGAAGAGGAAGATGTCGCTTAGGGGGCACAAGGGGACGTGGGGTTGGAGGGAGGGCGAGGGGCAGGGCGAGTGGGGGGCGAAGGCTGGTTCATCCGCGGGAGGACATCTCGCGGGGCAAGGAGGCGGTACCCATCCCGTGGGTAAACAAGCATAGCCACGAGCAGCCGCCCGCCTCGTGGATGTACATGGAGAAGAGCTATCCTGCCAGCGACAAAGTGAAATTCGTCATGTGAGCTCCCATCCGGTTTCCGTTCTAATGTAAACAAAATCCTTCCATGAAAGATGGGTAAGCCCATTAGTCATCGTGGATATGTGCGATCGTGATTGGTGGAGTGAGACCTGAACAGTGCACCTGTGGCTCCCATGCAGCGCGTTGGATCGCATTGACGTGTTCTGTGCAAGCTGCCCAAAGGACTGCATGGACAACATCCGCTGCCAATGCACGGAGCCGCTGCGGGGAAACTGGGCATACACGAGGGACGGCACTCTCACGGACACCTTCTTGAGGACGGTGGAGACGGAGGTGGAGCAGGGCGACGAGGCGGTGAGGAGGCGCAACAAACAGTTTTGTGCTCGTGAGCGCTTGCTGTTGTGCCCCGTGAATGTAGCGCAGCTGAAGCAGGCCACGGATGCATTTCCCCGACACCACTTGGCCGCGGATGTGCCTGCACCAGCGAGGCTCACTGACATTCCTGCGAGCGACCTTGAGGTAAGCCTGTAGAAGAATACCCGGTCTTCGAGAACTATTCGATTTTGGCTTCGAATAATCGAATGCGTATGAGTAAAAAACGACCGTGTATTATAATATCTTCACATAAAGAGTATTCGCTCAACCAAAATATCCAGGTCTAGAATATTCAGGGTATTCGATACTATTCGGTATTCGGGCATTAACCCCCCTTATTGCCTAACCATAACGTTTCTTTGCAGGGAACAATGATATACCCAGCACACAATGTTGCTATTAACGCAGGAAATGTGCGCAAATGCCCTATTTAGAAAGTCAATAGACCCGGGAAGAAAAAGAAGTGTGCGAGAGCAGTTCAGTGAATGTGTGAACATGAGAAAAATTCAGTCGATTAATGTTGCCTACCCCAAATTAGTAGGGATGAGCAAGGCGAACCGAACCGGTTTTGATTTTTAGCTTAAGATGTTCGCTTAACACAGTTCGAGGTTCGGCCGAACACAAACGTGTTTGAGGTTCGCCCGAACACGCTTTCACAGGAGAACGCCGAACACCCTTCTTTGGGCCGAACGGCCATGTTCGTGCAAGGGAGAACGCAAACATGTTCGTGTTCGCCCTTTGCTCATCCCTACAAATAACAATGATTCGACAATTATTCGTATTGGATTCGGATTCGGCACTATTCGTATCGTATTCATATTCGGTTAGGGTCACTAATCGGGCGAATTAGAAACCCCATAGTATTTGAAGAATAATCCACAAAAATATTTGTCTTCGTATTCGTTTTTACAGGCTTACCTTGAGGCGTGTGTGGCGTGCCCCGGGCATCCCGTGCGCACGTTCATAAAGGAGTGCTTTGTCAAGTGCGGATGCGGCAAGATGTGTGGCAACCGGGTGGTGCAGCGTGGCATCACAAGGCGCTTGGAGGTAACTCATGTCCAGAATCGCTATGGAATGTAACATGTTCGACCACTCACATACTGAAACCTCACTCACTTACTCTAGCCTATGGATGGCTCAAAAGGTTGCTTGGCGAGCGGCGTCGTCTAGGGAGAAGACCAGCGAGAATCGTGAAGATTTTCATCATAGCGTGAGGGCACAGTGAATCAGCATAGCGTGAGGGCACACTGAATCAGCATAGCATGAGGGCACACTGAAACAGCAGAGCTTGAGGGCACACGTATTCTGTCGTCTTAAACTCCTACATAGCATGTCTCATGGATCCCATTTTCGTTCTCGCCCCATTGTGGTGCTTTCTCGCCGGTTTGCCCATGACATTGGAGGATTAGGGTTTTGGGTGCCTTGAAATGCCGCGTGGTCGAGGCGAGGGTTTTGGGTTTTGGGTCGCCTATAAAGGTGAACACCCGGTCACCTCCCCTCCCTGAATGTGTTCATTTCAAACCGTACATGTTCGTGTTCGCTCAACATATATGTTCGAGCCTTGTTCGAGTTGAACACGTTCGTGTTCGAATTAGCCATGCTTGCAACAAACACCACACTCCTTAGTCACGCTCTCAACAAACACCACGCTCAGTCACGCTTGCAACAAACACCACACTCCTTAGCCACGCTTGCAACACCGACCACACTCCTTAGCCACGCTTGCAACAAACACCACACTCCTTAGCTACGCTTGTAAGAAACACCACACTCCTTAGTCACGCTTGCAACAATCACCGCACTCCTTAGTCACTCTTGCAAAAAAACATCATACTCCTTAGCCACGCTTGCAACAAACACCACACTCCTTAGCCACGCTTGCAACAAACACCACACTCCTTAGCCACGCTTGGATGACTCCATTCCGAGTTTGGAGACATATGGAATGAAAGTGTCGCAAGTGTCGGGGTTGGTCACTCTTGTGACAGTCCAAACAATGCAACATATCACGCGTTTGTGCCTTCACTTTCCCTTGGCTTATGGCTTAGTGTAAACTTTGTATATATATACATATAATAATAATAATAGTAAGAATAATAATAATGATAATAATGATAATAATGATGATGATGATGATGATGATGATGATGATGATGATGATGATGATGATGATGATGATGATGATGATGATGATGATGATGATGATGATGATGATGATGATGATGATGATGATGATAACAATAATAATAACGTCTTGTTCTATGTACTCACAGATCTTGTTATGCATGGATCTTGTTATCCAGATGGATTAATCAAGCATTTCAAAACTTGTTACGGAAAGTCATCCTAGTCCACACGTGTGCACAATAGCCCTGAACTTAGGCGACAGCACCACCCGCCATATCTGCCATGTCAACCCATGTCTCCCAAGTCAGCACAAGTTTTGAAGTCAGATCGCACAACACGTATTTGTGGCTCTTGAGAATCCACGTAAATGAGAAGCATGTTGGTGTCCCCTGACCATTGCCATGCGCCCCGCCATGGATGCTGTTCTCCTCCCCTGCACCCGCCACTGCTACGGGCGTGGGCACGGGCACGGGGGGCAGGTGTTCATGACGGCGGGCAAGGGGTGGGGGGTGCGCACGCTGGAGCGGCTGCCGCGGGGGGCGTTTGTGTTTGAGTACGCGGGGGAGGTGGTTACCAACACCGAGATGGACGAGCGCAACCAGCAGCAGGCCAGGAACCAGCGTGGCACCTTCCCTATCTACCTGGATGCGGACTGGGCGGCGGAGGGGGTTCTGAGTGACGATGAGGCATTGTGCCTGGATGCCACGAAGCTTGGCAACGTGGCGCGATTCGTCAACCACAGGTACCTCGTGGGCTGCACGTCCCTTCAACCATAAGTGTTCTGTCAAGTCAGGCATGAGTGAGTTGTTGGCAAAGCAAGGGATTGCAGGTGACACCGTGGCTGTGGCTAGGGTTACATAGCAATGAGATGCGCGGGGTTAAGCGATCTCGATGGCGCACCATGGGGCATGCGAGCATGAGGCGCTCAAAGCGAGTGAGCTAGGTTTCCATGGTGTGCTTGTGTGCGTGTGTGCGTGCGTGCGTGCGTGCGTGCGTGTGTGTGTGTGTGTGTGTGTGTGTGTGTTTGTGTGTGTGTGTGTGTGTGTGTGTGTGCTTTCTTTCTTTCACACTCTTTGTGGCCATGTGTTTCCACTTGGTTTTGTGCTTCTCTTTCAAGTGGTCCCGCTTGTCGTTTATTTTGTAACCCAACGCTAACATGGTTGTACAGGTGTGGAGATGGCAACCTGGTGAACGTGCCAGTGGAGATAGAGCACACGGACCACATCATCTACCATGTGAGTACGGCCGTCAACGTATCAGTTTGCGTGTCATCAATGTGAGTGGATGAAAACGATGTCAGCCCACCGTGCTTGTTCTTGCTAGCTGTGCTTCTGCTGGGGTTTCATTGGGTTGCACCCCTTGCATTGCAGGTGGCCTTTTTCACGCGGAGGGAGGTCGAGCCAAACGAAGAGCTAACATGGGTACGTATGTGCTGTGTCACCAAGGTGCCTTTGGTTTGTACAAACATAAAACTGAGTTACGAACTGGTGGGGTGGTGTGGCAGTGTCTTTGGCAAGGTAACCTGGTGTTATTTGATGGGGCATGAAAGGGGAACAAATCACAAAGTTGTATAAAGGAAACATAGGAAAGAGCAGACGTTGTATGACTCTGCAGTGCTTATCTGTGCAACATAGGAAAGTAATGGCAATGGTTTAGGTTGTTTTGTGCACAATGCTACCTGAGCCATGCGCAGAGAATAGACAGTGTGAGTGACAGTGCCAGTGAGGAAATCTAAACGAGGTTGTGAGTATGCAACGAGCCTTCTTAATGTAGTTATTGAGCAGCTGAACAGAAATCGAAGGGAGGATATGATGTCCATCCAAGGGAGGATATGATGTGCACGTTTGAGTGGAACCCATTCCAACTTCTGTTACTGTCAAGCCGAACTCGAACAGTGGGACTCAAACACTGCTGTGTTCGACTGTTGGAGTGTTCGAGTGTCTTCGAGTGTGTGGTTGAACACTGGCGTGCTCAGGTCGAACCTGTTCGACTCGAACTCGAACAGGTTTGTACTTATGGGCCCCATTCACCATTGTCACATGGGTTCAAGTGCTCTTCATGATAAGCAACCTCCAACAGTTGAACACATTCAACCCAAACATTTATGGCCAAAAAAACCCTTTTTTTTCGACTCAACTCGAGCGGTGCGAGTCAAACCGAAGAGGGGTTCATATTCTGCGCAAGACTAGTCCAAGGTGGCTGTGTGCCCTCCTCTGTATCGCACTCACTTGTTGCTCGTGAGACTAGGCATGAGCATTTGAGCCAAACTTGGATTGTTTTGTTCAATCCCTGTTTCGTGTCAAAAATGATTTCATTTACCCCACTTTGTAGTCTTGTCACGTTTGTCTTTGTACGGTTCTTTTTTTTTTTTTTTTTTTTCCAATTAGTTTCTCCTTGAAGAAATGGATTCCTGGTGTGGTGGCTACGTTCTGAACACACCAATGACCAACGGAATCAGTAGGTTGGTTGAAAGCAAACATGCAAGCAGCAGTGAAGAGGAGTGCATGTTAGAATCTATATTCTTGTGTAACCTGCATAGATGTTATAGGTTAGGCTAGAGTTAAGCACCCAAACTCAGTTTGGGTGTACAAACAGGGGTCACCCAGTTTGTAGGTTGGAAACCCAACCTTGGTCCAATTATTGGACCCCAAAGGTTGGGTTGGGTAGAATTATTGGTTCACTCCAATAATGTTGGCCCAACTCCAACTTGGCCAACATTATTGGACCCCACCAATAATGCTCACCTAGGCTAGGATCCAACCCACTCCCTATGTAAACCCCCAATCTCCTCAATTCAATCATCAACTTCTCTTCAAACTATTGTTCTCACAGTGCAAGATGTAAGGCATGGAGTAGGAGTTCGACAACCATTGATGCACTGCCAAGTCAACACTAACCAGACCTGCAAAAACCCAACCCTACCTTCCCTTTCCCTGCCCCTGCAACCCCATTTCTCTGCCCTCCCTTTCCCCCTACCCCCTCCCCCCCCTACCCCCTCCCTCCCCCCCCCTACCCCCTCTCCTTCCCCCCTACCCCCTCTCCTTCCTCCCTACCCCCTCTCCTTCCCCCCTACCCCCTCTCCTTCCCCCCTACCCCCTCTCCTTTTCCCCTACCCCCTCTCCTTCCCCCCTACCCCCTCTCCTTCCCCCCTACCCCCTCTCCTTCCCCCTACCCCCTCTCCTTCCCCCCTACCCCCTCTCCTTCTCCCCTACCCCCTCTCCTTCCCCCCTTACCCCCTCTCACTTCCTCCCTCCCGACCCCCCGCCCCCACCCAATCGCCCCCCCACACCCCCCCTCCCCCCCGCCCCCCTCTCCCCTCCCTCTTCATTACCAAAACAAAGGAGAAAACAAAAGAGAGCACGATGGTGTTTAATCTGAGAGCATGACTGCGGTTCCAAGTTGCCACATTGATGGTTCCAAGTTGCCACATTGATGGTTCCAAGTTGCCACATTGATGGTTCCAAGTTGCCACATTGATGGTTCCAAGTTGCCACATTGATGGTTCCAAGTTGCCACATTGATGGTTCCAAGTTGCCACATTGATGGTTCCAAGTTGCCACATTGATGGTTCCAAGTTGCCACATTGATGGTTCCAAGTTGCCACATTGATGGTTCCAAGTTGCCACATTGATGGTTCCAAGTTGCCACATTGATGGTTCCAAGTTGCCACATTGATGGTTCCAAGTTGCCACATTGATGGTTCCAAGTTGCCACATTGATGGTTCCAAGTTGCCACATTGATGGTTCCAAGTTGCCACATTGATGGTTCCAAGTTGCCACATTGATGGTTCCAAGTTGCCACATTGATGGTTCCAAGTTGCCACATTGATGGTTCCAAGTTGCCACATTGATGGTTCCAAGTTGCCACATTGATGGTTCCAAGTTGCCACATTGATGGTTCCAAGTTGCCACATTGATGGTTCCAAGTTGCCACATTGATGGTTCCAAGTTGCCACATTGATGGTTCCAAGTTGCCACATTGATGGTTCCAAGTTGCCACATTGATGGTTCCAAGTTGCCACATTGATGGTTCCAAGTTGCCACATTGATGGTTCCAAGTTGCCACATTGATGGTTCCAAGTTGCCACATTGATGGTTCCAAGTTGCCACATTGATGGTTCCAAGTTGCCACATTGATGGTTCCAAGTTGCCACATTGATGGTTCCAAGTTGCCACATTGATGGTTCCAAGTTGCCACATTGATGGTTCCAAGTTGCCACATTGATGGTTCCAAGTTGCCACATTGATGGTTCCAAGTTGCCACATTGATGGTTCCAAGTTGCCACATTGATGGTTCCAAGTTGCCACATTGATGGTTCCAAGTTGCCACATTGATGGTCCATTGGCCGCTTCAAGTGGGCACCCGAGTCGTAACCACTGTTTGTTCGCAGCACGATGCTGTTGAAGCATCCCCGTTAGTCGCGACTGCCAGATTGCAAGCTTGACTCGTGCATGTGGTTGGTATGCATGTGGTTGGTATGGATGTGGTTGGCATGTGGTTGGCATGTGGTTGGTATGGCATTGCATGAGGTTGATATGGCATTGCATGAACATGTTTGACCATACAACTTATTATTTATATTCGTTTTTGCTCTGGCTAGAAAATGCACCTTGCTTTTTTGTTTCATCCAAAGTGACAATGCTTGAAATGGTCACGATGCACTAAGGCCGGGTGAACCAGAATCAATCATTCTAGTTTTTATTATTTGTTATCTACAAATTACCTTATTGTCGTGTACCCTTTTTCATCTCTTGTGAATGCAGGACTACACAATGGATTTCACTGAAAACTCCGCGCTTCCCACTTTCAAATGTTTCTGCGGGTCGCCGTTCTGTCGAGACCCAAGCGCATCGAGCAGGCGAGGAAAGCGTACAAACCGATGACCATGAGTTGTGTCATAATAGGCCCTATCATCAAACCCTACGCCTGTACGACAATAGGGGGTTGAGTGGGACTTCAAAATGTTAGATCCGAAGAGGATCTTGGGATAGGATAAGTCTACTAGAGTAAAAGACAGCGAAAGCAGGCCCCACGTTATCAGGGCAAAACATCCTGATTACCCTGAATTCAGGATGCAGTTTTGGATTTACCCTGTCATTCCAGAATGGTGTCAATTTTTACCTTGAGCTCTCATGATGTTTTACCGTCATCGCCCGGATATAAGACATATATGTCTTATCTCGTACACGGGCAAAAATGCTTGAGTTATCTTGTAAACGGGATGGTTTAGGGTGTCTTATAAGTCTTATAAATGGAAACTTTTTAAACTACTTAGAAATATTTTCCGTACTTCTTGAAAAAGAGTTCCTCATAATGAGTGTGGATGTTGCGAAGGTGCCACTTCGGCAACCACTGCCCGGGACGCCACGTCATGGAGAACACCTGCAGAGGCAAATTTGGTAGGTCCTGGGTCAGCGCGTGGAAGAATTCGCGCTTCGCAAGGGTAAAAATGTACGCGTTATTTCAACTTTCGCTATAATATATTGAAGTTTCGATTATAAGACACATATGTCTTATCTCGTACACACAAATAGGTGTCTTATAATGAGGCTAGCCTGTTTATAAGAGACACCCGTATAGTAGACAACCCCTGTCTACTATTCAACACTGTCTTATATCCGGGCGTTTACGGTATATGAAATGCCCTGAACATTCAGAATGGCCGTAGTGTTCTTCCTTGTAGCGTCAGGATGAATGTCGAGGCCTGCCCTGACGCGTTTTTTGAGGGGGGAGGGGAAGAGGGGTTGGGGGGGTGGGGGGGGGGGTCCCGTTTCCGCGGATTTTTTTCCCCGGGGATTTTTGTCCCCATTAATTTTTTTTCCCCGTGTATGTTTCCCGCCTTCGCACGATTCCTCCAATACGTAGTTATGTTCCGATCCCCCGCAACGCACCAGCCCATTCCATCAGACTCGGAGCAACCACCTTACCAACAGGTTCACCTGCAGCTGGTTCATCTCGAACTCCCGAAGTCACACCCGCCCGTGCTAGTACGAACGGCACCAGCAGAGTCTTGTCTCTGAACCCTGAACACTGGTTTTTTTGCCCTGACAGTTCAGGATTGATTTCTGCATAAGCCCTGAAAATACCGTATTCCCCCGGACATACCACCCCCCGAAATAGAGCACCCCCCGGGTGGCTTGTGCGGGGGGGGTGCTATAGCGGGCCTCGTTTCTACTATACCCCCCCTTTTGGGGGCATCCTATATAGCACCCGGGGGGATGTTATGTACGGGTAAAATTGCTGTTTTTGCCTAAGTTGCACAGGGTTTCCAATGATAATCCATCTACAAGTTACCAGTAGCAGAAACAAGCTACATATGACGCAATACAGCGCTAAAACTCCCATCACACAGTCTTTCCAACATTCAACAAGGGCTTACTACCATCTAGTCAGAATGCTAACTACCTACACAGGTAAAGCCCACCCTCCTACTCCTCGTCCCCAGCATGCCATTCCTCAACCTCCTCCCCGTCAAAGCGGTCGGGGAGCCACCAGTCAGAGCCGGCCTCGCTCCACTCTTCTACATCCTCATCTTCTCCAGCCCCGTACCCTTCCCCATCGCCGTCTTCCGCCTCGGCATCTTCCTCGTCCTGCTCCACATGCATGGCGTCGTCGTCTGCCTGCAGCACCTCCTCCGGCACGCGGGCCTCTTCGAAAAAGGGGTTGGGGATGACCTCGTCTTCCTCCATGTCGTTCACATCCTCTAGGACTTCCACCTCACCTTTGTCCCGCAGGTGTGCGATGACGAGGTGGTCTTCGCTCTCGTCAAGCTTGGTGAAAATCCCGCAGGTGACAAAGGATTTCCTGATCAGCTCCTCAGGGACCTCACGCCACGACTCGTCAATCCACTTCAGAACCTGCTCTGCGGGAGGCTTCTGCAGATTTCCTGATGGATGGGCAAGGCACGCACGGAGTGGTTTGATAAAATACAAAGGCACGCATGCACAACAACACGACGGGAAGGCACGGGACGCTCTCACCTGCACGCGTCCTCGTGTTGATCCCGATGTCTTTAAACCAAGTGCCATAGCGGTGACGCGTACCGGCCTTGAACGCACGATTCACGGACAAGTCTAGCGGCTGCAGAAGCGGGGTGCACCTCCCCGGGATAACCGCCCGCGTCAACCGGAACATGCGCATGGTTTGACCCACGGCTTCGGTCAAATGCCCGCGATAGGAATCCAGGACGACCAACGCCTCCCTGCGGCGTCCGGCTGCTTCGCGGATGGGCTTCAGAAACGGCACAAGAACCTGAGTTATCCAGTCCTGCACAAGGTGTTCGTCTATCCACCCCTTCTCTTGTGCACGGACGACCACACCTGCCGCTCACAACGCAAAGAGAGCACCAGTAGTGTGAAGCAGGAGATACCAGGATACTTACCAGGCGGGATGGGCACTCTGGGGATGGTTTTGCGTTTGAAAACCACGTAAGGAAGAAGCTTCAGCCCTCCCGCCGTCACTGCCAGCATGACAGTGACGCGTTCCTTCTCGTAGCCCGCCGTGCACACGTGAACCGTCCGCGCTCTTCGTTTCGAGTGTACGCTCGGCCGGCATCTCCAAAAAGAGCGGAGTCTGATCTGCGTTCACGATCAGGTCGAGCGGGTAGTCGTGTAGGGTGCGCATCCGTATCAGAAACTCCCAGAAGGATTCAACCTTCGCCTTGCAATCTGCACGGACAAAGAAAAACAGAGGAAACATTAAGTGCAAGCAGAGCCCAGATATAGATGCTTCCATTCACGGACAACTTACCCGCAGCTAACTTCTGGCCCATCTTCGTCTTCACCTGTCGGGCCAGGTGCCAGCGATGACGGAACCAAGCCGTCCAGCGGTGAGAAGCGCGCCAATCCACGCCAGGCATCCGATGCTTCATGAATTTGGCGCTCCACTGCTGCAGCATGCGGACCGATACGGCGAGTCCCTTAGCGCGGTGCTTAAGAAACTGCCGATACACGGCCCGTTCCATGAACGTGTACTTCGCGCGGCGCCCAACTCCCATGAGGCGACGGCGGCATCCAGAGGCGACCTCCAGACGCTCCTTCATCCGCTTCCACTCGCGGATCTAGTAGGGCTGCACCTTCGCCAGCTTGGCCAATGCTCGATTCGACAGGTCCGGCTGCGATTCCTGCAGTTTCAGCCAGTGGAGCTTCTCCTTGGCGGTGTACGCATGACGAACACATTTCGTAATGCGATGACGTGGGGAAGGAGCGTCGGCATCCGCGTTGCGCTTCGGAGGTCCCTGAGGGCGTGTTTGTTCCGGGAAGGAAGGAATCTTCACCTTCGGCAGCACCGGCTGAGGACGGGTGGCGCTGCTGCTCGGTTCATCGTTGGTGGCGCGACTCACGGGGGGTGACGGCTGCGGCAGGACGGGCCGG